TTATAAATATGTAAATGCAAATTAATTCAATAAATAATGTTTATTTAAAATTTACATTGATTGTTTCATGAATTCAGAATGGCCCCCCCCCATCGACTTACGCAATAATATTTTGGGGTAATGGTTAAAAATGGTTAGACTCTATTCTCTGAGTTGATGGGCGAGAAAAGTTTATAAGATTTCTTTGTTGATGTCTACCTATAAAAAAGGTATTGTTTCGATCTATGCAGAAGTATTATTTTTAAACAAGCTGTTAAAACTTTTGTTTGTAAATAAATATTCATATAAATATATTTTACATTTTGAATTGTTTTCTTTGTTTAAATGTTTGTTTTTTTAATATTTGTATGTAATCTTAAATTATGTTAATTTTGAGTTTGCTGCATAAAATATATTTGTATATTCCTATATTTAAGTTTTCATGGGTATCTCCCATTTGTCAGAATGCACTTGATAAAGTAAAGGTAGAAAATGTTATCACGATGTTTGAATCGCTTTGGTATTTTAGGGAAAAAATTTAAGAATAGTTTTAAAATATGAAATAATTTCTTTATCGCATTATTAATGGATCGTTATCTTATCTACAAGCAAATTCGGAAAATTTGAATGAGATAAAATATTCCAACGAAAATATAGAAAAACAAATATATTTTTGGGAAAACGATAATTATGGTAAAAATAAATGAAACACAAACAATAGTTTCTAAATGACCAGATTGTCAAGTATATATTAATACTCAGAAATAAATTCCAAAAATGAATATTTGGAAAACGTTCTCTCAAACGATTTTACAATAATTTACTCTTTAACTAATACCTCGTCCATTAAAAGTTCTTCTCGTTCTATTTCCAAGCTTTCTTTATCATGTTCTTGTCCTTTGACCGGATTCTGAGTGTACAGGTAAACGGCAAATAATACAGTGCATATCGCCATAACTGTGCTCAATGCTATTGGTATATGGAACAAAAAGTAACAAAGTATCGCTGTGAAAACTAGTTCCAAAGCACTGGCAAATGTCTTAAGAATACTATTTAATTGTTTCAAGAAGAAACTAGTTATAATGCCAACAGATGCATTATTGATCATCAAAATTATAACTTTAAAATTCATAATTTTGGCCAAATTATCGTACTGGAAGGCTGTCGAGAGATTCCCGTGAAACAGCAGGACTAGTATGTTGCAGAAAATCGAATCTAAATACATAAAGACATTTTGCACGAAAATATTTACATTCGCACCATCATTTTTCAATAAATATTCATTATATACACCGGCGAAACACGAGCACAGCATTTGGACTAGTATCAAGACTGTACTCCAACTAAATAGATTAAAACCATACATTTTGGCATTCGAGTCAGCAGACTCAGCATTAAAATCCAATTGTTTCAACATGCAACCTAATGTCAAAATTACTAAAGACAGCCATTGTTTCCCCGTTAAAGTCTTCTTAAACAATACCTAAAAATATTAAAATTAGTAAATTTTCATAGGTTTAAGATTAATTAATATTACCTGAAATAGTATAGCAGTAAAGAAAATTCTAAATTGCAAGAGAAGATTGTATGTTGTTGGATCAAAACGAAGTAAATTCTCAAATGATAAATTATTGTAAAGGCAATATAGGAATGCCGGTATTAAATATAAAGCTAGCACAGTTTTATTTTTAACAACATCTTTCACCAGGCTCTTTGGTTCATTACTAAAACAAATCAATAAATTAACAGTCTACCATTGTTAAATATTGATAACATTCACTGTTTCAGGATATGCTAATATGTATAATAATGTTTATTAACTTACTCTTTACAATATAAACCAACTGATGCGAGGAGCTTCAATGTTTCTGTTAATAAGACAACTGTAGCTACATTATACTCATACCGATTACTAGATGTTTGGGATGCAGTTACCAGTATTCCTAGAATTCATTAAAACTTGTTCCCATTCTAACATACAATTGTCATTCATTACCGTGATTGCAAAAGAGGATGATGTAGAGGCTGAATATGATAAAACTGGATTTGCTAGGAAACAGCTTAGAAAAACTTTGTATGAAAGACATTCTTTGCGTTTGCATTGTTTCCTTATTAAACTAATTAATATGGAGTTACGTTAATGACATCTTGCTAACTATTTTCAATTATGCACAAAAATAATGTTTCAAACATTACATACGACAAAAATAATAGAACTGTTCATAAATATGTCAAACCCATTGATAAATACTGATTTGGCCTACACTCCCATAAAATCTCCTTAAGTATATACAACCAAATTAACGCGATTGTATCAAATAGAATTAGTTACTTCAGAATACTTGCGAATGTTTTTAGTAAATTTTTATTAATTCACAACTTATTAAATATGATGATAAATCTTAATCATTGCATTAAATAAATATAATTTATCTAAATTAAACGCAAAATATATCTATTGTCATAGATATTTAAAATAGATAAAATTGTCTTTACTACCGGAGACATGCACTGGATGTGAGGAACACAGATTTGCAGGAGATCACGCGTAGAGAAGAAATTGCAAAGTAGTTACAGATGTATGAGAAGTTGTCTAGTATTAAGGGCGGCATCAGATATTTTCATTGGAATGCGGAAGTATGAAATAAACGGTTTATGAAACTCGGATTTTTGAAAAAGTCGGTAGTGTCGATGGTGTCGGCTTTGACCTGACTGCAGACAGGATACGACAGATTGCGAGAGATCTGCAGTTCATCTGTTTAGGATGAATCTTTTGGATTCTCCGAACTGTGACTGTAGCTCCTTGGCCACCGTCTTTATTGCTATATTACATTAATATTTTGTAATTAAATTTGAAAATAATGTGTAATTATTAAAAAGGTGGCGCTGTTAATATTTCATTTAAAAAAATATATATCTTTAAAAAACAAATGCGCACTTTGACAGATGCTAATTAAGTAGTGTCAAAATTATTGGCAAAACTTAATTGCGTCAGCACGGTCCTATGAAATTTTAGTTCCGGGTCCTCAGACTGTGCTGATTACAAGATTGTGGTTAGGTTTCATTAGAGCAGGTTAGAGGCGCGCCATTTTGTGCGTGTGTCAACTGGGGTGTGCGGCTTGTCGGATGGTGTTGGAGAACCACAAAGATGTTGCATAATCTTTTCTATTAAATTATTAAACAAATACGGTGTGTGTGTGTGATAGAAAAAACGCAATATACGTTACAATGGGTGAAAGTACAGGTAGCTTGCCTTTTCCTCGATGGCAAATCGCGGTGGCTTTGGGAGCGACTGGGGTCGTTGGTTTAGGTTATTGGTACCTGCGGCAACAATCGACCCAAAGCAAGAGGAATGCTTTAATAAACAACATCAATTCGGTATCAATTGAGGATGTCCAACAAGATCCTGTTGATGAGAGCCCATTGCAAAAGGCACAGAGGTTAAAGAATGAAGGTATATATCATATCTCATATTTCATTCAAAAAACTTCAAGTTTTGTTATTTTTAGGAAATTTACATTTTAAGAAAGGACATTACAAGGAAGCTATTGACATGTATAACAAGGCTATAAGTGAATGTCCTGAAGGTAGTGATTCAGATCTATCAACATTTTATCAAAACAGAGCAGCAGCCCATGAACAATTGAAAGAGTGGGAAATTGTCATTGAAGATTGTTCTAGTGCATTGAAACTTAATGTTAAATATGAGAAGGCATTGTATAGGAGGGCTAAAGCATATGAGATTCTAAAAGATTGGGAAAACTGTCTAGATGATATAACAGCTGTATGCCTTATCCAAGGCTTTCAAAATCAGAATGCTCTGCAAATGGCAGATAGGGCTCTCAAGGAATTGGGCAAGAAGCGTGCTTCAGATGCCATGAAGACGCGCCAACCTCAGCTGGCTTCTAAGCAGTTCATTAAAACATACTTCACGTCATTTTCGCAAGATCCTGTCTACAAATTTTTGATGAAAACTGATGAACCTATGGGCGAAGGAGAGCTGAAAGGTTTCTTGAAGGCAAAGATGCTGTTCGCAACCGAAAAATTCGATGACATTATTGCTGCTTGCACCGAAGAAATAAATTCTAGTGAATCTGAGTCAAAGTATATCTTCGAATCGTTGTCTTTGCGATCCGCATTTTATATGTTGTGCGGTCGGCAACAGGATGCGCTTGATGATATGAACACTATTATCAACTCGAATGATGTCGATGAGAAAATTAAAATCAATTCCATCATCAAGAGAGCATCTTTGTACATGCAACGCGGCGACATTGAGACTTCTCTTGCCGATTTCCAGAAAGCCGCCGAATTAGGACCAGAAATTGCAGGTAAATTGGATTAGCGTTAATAAACTTGCTTTTATAAAGTTATATAAAATTATCGTTTTTAGATGTGTATCACCACAGGGGACAAATTTATTTATTGATGGAAAGAAATAATGAAGCTCGTGATGACTTCGATAAAGCTGTTAAACTAAATCCGAACTTCGCTATAGCCGTCGTCCAAAAATGTTATGCATATTATAGATTCGCTCTTATGTCGCAAGATATCGAATTGTTGATGAAGGTTATGGAAGACTTTAGAAAGTGTACTGAAAAATTCAATACATGCTCCGAAGCTTATGTGCTTTACGGCCAAGTTCTTGCCGAGCGACAAGAATACGAGCAGGCCGATGCTTTGTATGTGAAGGCCATCGAACTTGAACCAAAAAATGCGACCATCTTAGTTCATCGCGGTTTGCTGCATTTACAATGGAAAGGAACCGTCGAATCGGCAATCGATTTAATGAAACAGGCCGTCAAATTGGATAATAAATGTGAATTTGCTTATGAAACGTTAGCTACAGTTGAAGTGCAAAGGTAAGGATAATCAATTACTTATATGACCTTTAAGTAATATCATGATTTCCCAGGGGTAATTTGGTAATAGCAATTGATCTCTTCAATAATGCTATAAATTTAGCTAGAACAGAAACTGAAATGTCGCATTTGTACTCATTACGGGATGCTGCTGTGAGTCAACTGAAGGTTACCACAAGGCTTGGACTTGGGCAGATGCTCAACAAAATGGGTGCTTAAGAAAATTGAATTTCCTTTTTTTTATGTTGAGTGAGAATCGAAATTTATAAACATTATATATACAATTAATGATTTATTTTTGTTTTTCTTTTCCAATAATGTTTAAGAAGAGTGAAATTATATATCCTTCCATTGGGGTTGCTCTCGTTGGAAATAAAAGTAAGGCAGCATCAATGGTAACAGTTCCACATGTTTTTTTTTTGTTATAATTTCTAAAGATTTTTTATTTTACTAAAGAAAAACCCACAGGATTTGGCGCATTCCTATGAAAGTGTATTTTTTTTCTACTGTAGTGATTCCTAGTTCCAATTCATTGTTAACGATAGAATTAGTTTGTTAATAAAAAGAAAATCGGTAAAATAACTTTGTTTTATTTATCTATGGCATTTTCCATTGTGTGATTATCGTATAGAGAAAAAAGAAGATATCACTGAATTGGCAGCGAATGTTGATTACTTTCAAACTTCCGTTGGCAGCACAAGTTTTATACTTTTCATTTCAATTCATTCGCCTGATCAACTTGAATCACCAACGGATTTGAAATGTCACTAAGGCAGAAAGGTTAAGGCTATTAATTAAAACACGAAACAATTAACATATTATCTGCGCCAACGGAATAAACTCGTTGATAAATAAGATACACAATAATAGACTGCGCTTTGTTTATATGATAAACAATGGTTATGCAGTTGTATGGAGTACGTGAATGCATAGAACAAATAATCTACGTGATGGAAGTTTTATATATATTTCTTCCTTCGTGAAATTATATCATCATTAATTGAAAAAATATAATAACCTTTCGAATTCTAATAATAATTAATTATACATAGTTTATTTTTTAATACATTTTTACACACACATTTTTAATATTTATATCACTATAAGTTTACATATGCTAAGGACTAACTCTGTAACTATATAGTCAATGAAAAAAAAAATAATAACAAAGATTACATAAATAAATATTTATAATTAAAATGAATATAGAGAGTTACATTAAATACATAGCGTTCGTGATCTTTCTTCTAGCAAACGCTGTTTGTTTTAAATAAAAGTAAATCTAATAATATCAATTTAAAAAGAAATGCTAACGGCGATTATAACATAAACGTGTTTTTCTCTCTCTGAATAAACGCATCCGCCGGTAATTGAAACGAAATATAATATATATTATATAAATATAACTTAAAAACTGTGTTCCATGCAATTTGTCATTATCTAAGTGCCATTTCTCGTATATCTATATAATGAAAGTAAAAGGTTTCCTGGGTTAGTATCAAAATTGTGGTGGAGCAACATTATCATTAAAAAAAAAATCCAAAAATGAATTTTCCCTTCATTATCATGTTTATCTTCTACCTTATTAAAATATCGTTACATTTACCTTAATTAACGCTATAGAAAAGAAACGCTTCAATAGACCTGCAGTATTCATCATTATTATTATCAATGTAATCCATGTTCGCTCCTCATCGCTCTATCTGTTATTATCGCAAGGATTCTTACAAACTATGTTCCATTCACTAAAAATGTATACTTTGTATGTACAAAATGTAGCGATTACATTTCACGTAGCGGTAATACAAAATGCAACAGAATTATCATAATAAATTCACGTTCCTTCCTTTCGACTCGCGGAAGAATTATAATAATAGTAATTAATCAAGTGGAATTTAATTTGGTTCAATTAATATCATAATTGTATATACAAATGTTATTCCGGTCGTGTATGTTTGGTTACCTAGATATTAGCTCGAAATTTAATTTGCATTTTTTTTTATATTTACATCTAAATCTAAAAACAGAAAAAACAAAAAGTATAAAAGAAACCTGTAGAGAATATATTTGTCCTGTCTGCTGTGGTATTTCTTTTTAGTTTTTGCCTTTTTTTCCGATTTTGTGTTTTAATTTAAAATGATATATCTTTCATATATATATATATTTATAAAAAGAAGGGAAATTTAAACGAAGACCTTAGCTAAACCATCAGCGCCGGCGCTGGCGATATAAGGCCTCGACGGATGGAAGGCTACGTCGAGGATGCTTTCGTCAAACTTCTTGCGATGAGCTGTTATCTCTTGTACGCAAGTCTTGTTATCCATATGCCACAACCGTATTGAACAATCATGTGAACCTGTATCAAATATATCATTAGTAATACAAATAATAATATATCAACAAATCACAAGCAAAGAAACCAAGAGTTTAAAAAAATTAATTACATATATGAACTATTTTAAAACCATATAGTTAACACTTGTTACTTCAACATAAACATTAATAATAAATTTAAAAGTAACATATTTAATATATTTCGTATATATTTAAAATCGTATTACTTTAAATTTGGTTTATGTATATTTGTAAATAACAAAAAAGGAAAGAATTTAGAAGATTGAAGTGTCTGAAGGTTCTCATAATAATGGTAAATTAGAAGAAAAATCAACAAAAAAAACAGATATTAATATTGATTAGCAACAAATATTGCATATCATTATGTAATATTATAAGCAACTGCTGAAGCCATTCCAAATAACCTATGTTGAAACTTTTGTAAGCTCTGAAATGACTTAAATAGATTTTTTGTATAATAATACTTTGTTTAAAGCAGTTACATCAATGCTTCAAGATATTTGAGAAATACTGTATCTTTTTAAATATAACTGTTTATATTCCATAATAATATACTATATTATTGTATAGAATAAATAAAAATGTAAATTTTACCTGAGAGTAAATAAAGTCCATTTGGATCCACTGCCAAACTTGTGACGGCGTCCAAGTGGGCAACCATCGAATGCACCATTTTACCAGTATTGTTGTCCCAAAATCGAATATGCCTATCTTCATGTGCAGTCACCGTCAGTGGAATTGTTGGATGACACACAACGCGATTTATAAGCCTAAATGAACAATCAAAATATAATTATAAAAATAAGGAATAAATATAGATAATTAATACCTGGGCGCAGCGCTAGATTCTCCTTCTAATACAACAACCGGTTTATTTGTTTCAATATCAAAGATAACGCAATTCGCGCTTGAGAAAGCAGCTACCATTTTAGTAGGGTCGTCTCGACAAAAATCAACACTACTCGGAATACCATCAGCTTTCGATTGATACCAATTTAGGCATTCGTTACTGTACAGCATTTTACCCTAAAAAAATACGTATATAATAAAATTAAGTTGGATCACCGAGATTTGAAAATATCGATATTATTGTTTTGCATGACAGAAAACTAAAGTAATAATTAATAGTTAATCTAATATGTAATAGCAATTATTATTAATTGTTAGTTGTAGTTAATACTTGAATGATTTACATTTGCATATTACTTACAGTTTCTGCGTCATGCATACGTACATCTGTTTTGGGCTGCCAAAGCCTGACAGTGCCATCCGCAGAGCAGGACAATAATAATTCGCGTGTTTGATTATGATGCATGGCGAGTCCCCATACAGCATCAGTATGGCCTTCCAATTTTTTTTCCAAAACTTCCGGTTCGAAAAGGTCGTAAGGATCAATATTGCAACTAGGTGTATTCCAACAATGAATGTATCCATCCAGCCCCCCGGAAAAGCATTGCTCTCCACTTGCAGACATAGCTAAACATAGTACTGGTCCTTGATGTGACCTGGATACGTTAAGGATTATTTCATTAAATATAATTTATAAAAGCCCATTACTGTATTGAATTTGTAATTACGGAAAAATAATAGTCAGCAATTAGATAAACTCACCTGAATGTATATAAAGGTTCAACGTCTAAGGAAGCAGACTTTTTCGCTGGCACCGTTTTCTGAAGATTCCATAATTTAAGTGTATGATCCTCACTAGCCGTAATGAGCACCGGTTCGGTGGGGTGGAAAGCTAAGGATCTTACACCATCAAAGTGACTTCTTAATGTGTATTTAGCGTTCCACGCTTTTCTAAATGATTCCTTACTACTAGCCATATCGTAGGTACTTTCAGCTTCATTATTAACAGTCAACTGTGCCAATTCCCCTAAACCCAAACCTTGAACAATATTATTATCTGTTTGGTAAAAACGCTAAGCTATATAAAAAAAATATATATATACCTAATGGTGCATCTATATTTTCATCGTCGTTCATGCCCATTGTGGTCCGCCGTCCCGGTTGTCCCGTCGGTTGAAAGGGTTTATTCCAATCCCCAGATTCGCTTTTATTAATATCTTGCCTCTGGTCTTCAGATTCCGATAAGAGATTCAATTCGTTCAGTACTTCCATTGCCTCCGCATCAACATCATCTAAATATGCGAAAACATTATAATCCTCGTTTTACACAAATCATTATATAATAATACCTTTTCTTTTCACGCTTTTCACATCATCATCAATTTCATCTTGTGTTTCTAAATCTACTTCATCACTCATATCATCTTCATCCTCCATATCAACATCAGGATTTGAAAGAAAATCTAAGTTGGCCATGACTGCTGCCTCTGTATCCAACATCATGGACTCAGCCAATACACTTGGTTGTGGTTTCTTTGCAGGAGTCCTCCGACCTGTGTTGGTATCTTTAAATGTAAAAATAGGATTATTATATTAATTAACAAAAAAAACAATGAATTGATTTTTTAGTTTAATAAATAAATCATTATTTATGTTTAAATTACATAAGTTTAGTATTTTACTTTCACACTAATCAGGATTTTACTGTATTTTGAGCTCATACAACTTAAAATTTGTGAAGGTATGAATAAAAATACAGCTATACCCACACATACTGCTGCTTTGATCAGTGCGGATTCAATATAGTAAGGTTTGATAATTTTTTTTAAATAAACTAAATTTTAATTGAGGAAAATCCAAAAAAAATTAAAAATTAATACACCAAATTATTTTTTATACGTAAACGATCGTTTTTTCTGAATACCGTAAATCTCTGTTTGTTCTCTTTACTTTTATGCGGTTTTAAAGTACTTGATTAGGCCGGATACAAACATTGTCGAATATTGGTGGCACTAATAATCTGCGCTATGTGATGTCTTATAAATCATTAATTTGTGCAATATATATTACCTTGAGTATCACTAGCACGTTTATTGGATTCATTACAATTGACTGAACCTCCATTTAAATTTTCTTCTTGTTCTGCATTATTATTAAGCCCTAATAAAGCTCTAACTCTTGTTGATCGCACATCTATAATTCTATCTGTATAACCAATTTCCTATAAAAAGAAAATAAAGCAATATTTAACATTATTCATAAGTCATAATAAATTTATTAGTTACTTGTAAATATTGTCTAAGCAATTGCCTTCCTTGCCTCCAACTGGCATTAGAAACTGAAGTATAAGGAGCTTCACTGTCTAGTTGTGAGTCAACATTTAAAGCAGGATCATCCAGTACAGGTGGTTTGATGTCACCTTGTTGCAAATCTACTCCATACTTCAATTTATGGAACTTGGCTCGTTCTTGTTTCAAAGCATACTCCAGCATTTTAATCCTCCTCACTAAATCATTCTTGAGGTTCTCTTGACCTTTTCTTTCACCTTGTAAGAAAGCAATTCTTGCCTGAAAAAAGTGCATGCAATAAAGATATTTGTTGACTTATTTTCCTAAAATAAATGTAAGTTCTTTGTAACATACCTGCAGTTCAGCTTTATCAACTTCCCATTGTGATCTTTCTAATTCAAATCTGGCCCACTCATGTTGAATAAAGTGGAGGATTCCTGGTATGGAGTATTGAGGTTTTGGATTGTTTTTCTCTCCCTGTTTGTTGTTTGCATTGTTCTGGGGCCCCCCCATTTGGGATCCATTCTGGTGGTTTAAACTTTCTTCCATTTCACCACACTCACTGCTTTCGTTTTGCATACAAAATTATCCACTGAACCCCCAAAAAAAACCTCACCAATGCGCCATGTCTATAGAAGTGTTACCCTAATATCTGAAAACTGTAACAACCTCCTCCACCTCCTCCCCAAAACCCGCACAATGAAGCGGGTCGCGATATGCCTCAACGAAAACAACCAACAATAAATAACTAACTAACTGACGAAACGAAGGAATTGTGACTGCTTCACAAATAAATCCAACACATAGTCTTCTCTTAGTTGCCCAAAAATTGTTATACGAATATGCAGCGAAACACGGCCATTGACAAACGGGATTTAGTTCCGATTAATGTCACTTCTTCACCCTCTTCCTTCCACTTCCTTATGTTCGTTATGTGCCCTACAATGTTCTCTTTCTTTCACAGCTGCTCAATGGCGGCGCTCTGGTCGTCTGCCACAAAACAACCTGCTGCAAACTTTATAATACCAAAAACCACTAGATTTCAAAATACTTAACTATCCTTTATTTGCTAATATTTATCATTACTTATTCTCCTCACTTATATAACAAATTTATTTCAAATATACTTCACTATTGACTCTAAATAAAATGAAAATATATTAGTAAATGTACTTATTTAATGAAAAGCAGACAAACCATAATAACTTAATTAATCAAAATGTATATGTTTCTAAACACCGGACGGTATTTGGAAACAATATAGTAATCATAAATATGAGCAATTTATTTATATTTAAAATTTTAACCATAGTTATATCATTAGTATTCATATTAACATTAATGTTTTTTCATAGTTTTTATAAATATATAAGTACACAATCATAGAAATTCATGTTACTACAATTGATTTGATGAAACCTAGAAAAGGTCATAATTGTAATGTTAATTATTATATTAAAAGATATATATTTGCTTATATGTTTCTGAAAATAACGACCAAAACTCTTTAGTTTTTATCTACCCCGTATATGAGATTGTCTACTTATGCAGTAAAGAGATTCAAACTCCCTAAAAAAGTAAACTTTTAAATTTGATAATATATAGTATAAATACTTTTGCAAAAGTGTATATATATATTTATACAATAATTAGTGGTGTTTATACTAAATCCACTATCAATCAGTAATATAAAATTTATCTGAAACTATACAAATAGATAAAATAGTTTGAATTTGAAATAATTGTTAAGTAATAAATGCATAAGCAGACGTATAGCTGTAATTAAGAATATAATTCATAAAAATTCTAGATTAATATTGCGTCATGTTTATTAATAAGAAATACTCAGAATTAAGTGGATTTTATTTATAGAACACTTGACGTTAAGAAACGTACGAAAGTTAAGTAATGTAACGCATTTAATACTTGAATGGGTGATCCAGAATGTATAAATTTGAAAAAAAAAACAAAATCAACTTTATAAATTTTATTTAGTAAACATAATTTACATTAAAGAAAAACTATATTAAAATATAAATATGCTAAATATTATAACATCCTTCTGTTACTTATTTATACACAAATTAAAATAATATAGAAATCAAGTGATATTTAAATGTGTGACAAAAGAGAATGGACCTTTACAAAAATTTTTCGCACCAATCATTTAAGCAGTTGAAGCATTTCTGCGACTGGTCGGAATTAGCATTGCAGGTGTCTTTCAGCCATTCCTGAAATTTTTCTTTGTTTTTCTTCAACACTAAAAACTGTCCCAAGACCACATACGCCTATAACAAACAATTGAACAAATTATTAAAATAAATTATATTATTCATATTGGATAATATTTATGCACTATTTTTTTTAGTATTTATATAATACTAATACATCCATTTTTTTACATAAATAATCTTACCTTATCAAAACCTGCAGCTATTAGTTCGCTTCCTAAAGTTTCAGCAATGCCGGCCAAATCCGTTACGGGTTTATCTCTCATGGGTTCCAAAACAAAATTACGATGTTTCTGGGTGAGTCCTGTCATCTTGAAATTTGATAACATATAGTATAAATACTTTTGCAAACGTTTATATACAAAATCCACTATCATAAATAATCTAAAATTTATCTGAATCTACACAAATAGATAAAATAGTTTTAATTTGAAATATTTGTTAAGTAATAAATCATAAGCAGACGTATAGCTGTAATTAAAAATATAATTCATAAAAAATTCCAGATTAATATTGCATCATGTTTATTAATCAGAAATACTCAGAATAAAGTGGATTTTATTTATAGAACACTTGACGTTTAGAAACATACGAAAGTTAAGTAATGTAACGCATTTAATACTTGAATGGGTGATCCAGAATGTATAAATTTGAAAAAAAAAAACAAAATCAACTTTATAAATTTTATTTAGTAAACATAATTTACATTAAAGAAAAACTATAAATCAGAGAAATACACATCTATATTATGTTGAAATTATGAGTTTCGTCTTAAACATTACAGTTCTATGCAGTTAGATCATATAAAAATATATAACTTTATCAGACATGTACATATCATAATGAAAGTTGAGTGTTTTAAAATATAAATATGCTAAATATTATAACATCCTTCTGTTACTTATATATACACAAATTAAAATAATATAGAAATCAAGTGATATTTAAATGTGTGACAAAAGAGAATGGACCTTTACAAAAATTCTTCGCACCAATCATTTAGGCAGTTGAAGCAGTTCTGCGACTGGTTGGAATTAGCATTGCAGGTGTCTTTCAGCCATTCCTGAAATAATTCTTTGTTTTTCTTCAACACTAAAAACTGTCCCAAGACCACATACGCCTATAACAAACAATTGAACAAATTATTAAAATAAATT